TAAGACTAACCATAGTTCTGCTGAGCCCTAGGCCCACTGGATTGTCCTCTCTCCAGAGAGGAAACTTTGGGAACTGCTGTCAACCCCACACCTTGCCCTTTCCCCATCCAATCGCTCCAACTAAGCTGTTCTCTTTAAAACAGCATGCAAGAGATAAGCATGTATTTTATTTTATTTTTGAGCTAGAGTATCACTATGTTGCCATGGCTAGCCTGGGCCTCTGCATTTTCACCAGGCAGTCCAGGACAAGGAACCAAACAGGAGCGACATAAAGTAGCCTTGCACAGCTGGGGACTGGTGTCCTAGGCCTTGGGTCTGTTATCTAGCACTGGGGGAAAGTGGTTTTTCCTGTCAAGGTCAGGGACAGGCCAATCTGTTGCTAACACCAGGCAGGCAGGGCAGCCACACAGACCAAAGCCTGGGGACAGACACAGGGAAGGGCTTCTGGACTAAGATTTTCTCAGGAATGAGGGAAAGGAGCATCAGTGAAGAAGGAGGCAAACTATCACCATACACTGACAACACGGCTCAACCTGTGGGTCGTAACCTCTTTGGCGGCTGCATGTCAGATACTTACATTATGATTCATAACAGTAGCAAAATTATTGTGGTGAAGTAGCAATGAAATAATGTTAAATAATGTTATAGTTGAGGATCACCGCAGCATGAGGAACTATATCAAAAGGTCGCAGTATTAGGAAGGTTGAGAACATGTCCTGGACATAAGGGTGCACACCTTTAATTCTAGCACTTGGAAGGCAAGGGCAAAGCCAGTCTAGTTTACATAGTGAGTTCTAGACCAGCAAGGGCTACATACTGAGACCCTGTCTTAAAAAAAAAAAAAAATGATTGCAATTGGCAACATGATCAAGCAAAAAATGGCTGCTGCAGGACCAGGCTCCTTGGTTTCAATCCAGTTCAGATATAAGCTATAGCTCTGCAGCTGAGAGAATCTATTTAACCTCAGGAAACCTCAAACTACAAGCCAAACCCAGGACATAATTAAGAACACCACTCTCTGAGGCTTCTGAAAGAAATTAAATCAAAACATGAACACATAAAATCCCTTGATTCCAGTAAGTAGCAGCCACTGTAATTACTGTTACACAGTCACTTAAAAATAATTCAAACTCTCAGTGTTGCATTTGGTATCTGTATTTCCTAGCAGGATTTCACCATCTGTCATATAAAGGACACAATAACAAAATTTCCAGCCTATAATCCCAGCACTAGGTCGGTGAAAGGCAGAAGGTTCACTGTAAATTCAAGGCCGTTCAGACTTTATAGCTAGAGCCTTTCTCAAGGAAACAAAAAATATGATCTGGGGATATAGCCCCTTGGTAGATGCTGCCTAGTATTTAGGTTCAATCCCCAGTATTACAAAAAATTAAAAAATAAATGTAAATACTTGGGGTGGAGGTAGAGAGATGACTCAGTAGTTAAGAACACTGCTCTTCCAGAGGACCCAGGTTCATTTCCAAGTACCCACATGGTAGCTCACAACCATCTCTAACTCCAGTTCCAAGGGACCCAATGCCCTCTTCTGACCTCTGCAGGCATTAAGCATGCACATAGTGTACTGACATACACGCAGGCAAAATACCTATAATTTCTTTTTGCTGGATGGTGGTGGTGGCGCACGCCTTTAATCTCTGTGAGTTCAAGGCCATCCTGGTCTACAGAGTGAGTTCCCGGCCAGCAAGGGCTACACAGAGAAACCCTGTCTACAGACAGGCTGGCCTCAAACTCACAGAGATCTGCCTGCCTCTGCCTCCAGAGTGCTGGGATAAAAGACATTAGCCACCACCACCCATCTTAATTAATTAATTAGTGTGATAATTTTTGAAATTATTAGGCCACTGAGATGGCTCAGTAGGTAAAGGTGCTTGCTTTCAAGCCTGAAGACCTGAGTTAGATCCCTGGAATGCACAAGCAGAACAAATTCCCACAGGTTGCCCTCTGACCTCCGTATGTGCGCTGTGGCACATGCAAACCCACACACAAAATAAATGAGTGGAAATAAATAGATGTAGTGAAAACTTTAATAAAAATGAAATAATTAAATAGTTTCATTATCTTCCCACTTTTTAAATGAGTAAACTATAAACTAAGGCTTAGAGAGGTTAAATGACTTGACTTCCCAATTCCCACCCCCAGGCCCCAAACAACTACTAATCCATTGTCTATCTCTGTAGATTTTGCTCTTTCTGGACATTTTAAATAAATGGAATCAGGAGCTAGAAGAGGCTTCATCAGTTAGGAGCTCATACTGCTCTTGTAGCAGAACTGAGTTTCACTCAGAGCATCCATAACAGGCTGCTCATAACTGACCGTAACTCCAGCTCCAGGGGGTGAGACAGATGCCCTCCTCTTGGCTTCAGCAGATACCTGCACTCATGCAGATATAGTATGCATGACACACAAGCATTCAGATAATTAAAAGATAAAACATTTGTGTTTTACTTATTTAGAGATTATAATATATGTTTGAGTTTCCTGACACAGGTTTTCACTGCTTTGGCTGGCCTGGAGCTCACAATGTAGATGATGTTGGCCCAGAACTAATAGATCTGCCTGCCTCTCCCTCCCAAAGGCTTGCACCACCATGCCCACCTTGAAATAAAGTACTTTAAAACAATAAAATGGGCTACAGAGGTAGCTCAGTGGTTAAGAGTACTAAACCAAACCAGGTTTGGTTCCTAGTACCGTCATGGTAGCTTACAACCACCTGCAACTCCAGTTGCAGGGGATTCAATCCCCTCTTCTGGCTCTGCCAGCGACAGGCACTCACATAAAATTACAAAGCTGGGTCCCAGCACTCACAAGGCAGAGGCAGGGGGATCTCTGTGGGTTCGGGGCCAACCTGGGCTAAAGAGCAAGTTCCAGGACAGCCAAAGCTACAGAGAGAGACCCTGTCTCAAAAAAAAAAAAATTACATACCTGGGTATGGTAACATATAACCTTAATCCCAGCAACTGGGAGACAGAAGCAGGTAGATCTCTGTGGGTTTGAGACCAGCCTGATCTAAATAGAGAGGGTGAGAACAGCAGCAGTGACATAGTAAGACTCTGCCAATGGATGGATGGATGGCTGCAGCTGAGTGACATGAGCCTTTAAGCCTAGCCTCCGAGAGGCAGCACAGAGGACTGAGAGTTTGAGACAGGCTACACAGTGAACTCAAAGCCAGCCGTGACAGCAAGGAAAGAGCCTGTCTCAAAAACCAGAATGAGCAAAAATTAAAACAGCCAGGTAGAATTCCAAGATTCAAGAGGCTAGGGAAAGAGTATTTCTATGAATTTAAGGCCAGCCTGGGCTACATAGTGAGATCCCGTTATGGAACAAAAGAACGGCCCCCACAGGCTCATATATTCTAATGCTTGGTCACCAGGGAGTGGAACTGTTGGAAAAATTTAGAAGAATTAGGAGGTGTGGCCTTGTTGAAGGAAATGTGTCGCTGGGGGTGAGCTTTGAGGTTTCTTTCATTTTGTTTCGCTAGACAGTGTTTCTCTGTGTAAGAAGCCCTGGTTCTCCTGGGGACCAGGCTGGCTTTGAGCTCACCGAGATCTCCCTGGGACGAAAGGGAGGTTTCAAAAGCCCACTGTCCCCCCTTTCCCTTCCACCCCCTCTCACTCTTTCTGCTAGTGGATTGCGGTATAGCTCTCAGCTACTGCTCCAGCGCCATGCTTGCCGCCATGCTCCCTCCACGCGGAAACTGTAAGCCAGCCCCAAGCAAATGCTTTCTTTTTTAAGAGTTGCCTTAGTCACGGTGTCTCCTCAGCAATAGACAGGAACTAAGAAACCACCCATACACCAGGAATCATAGCAGACAGGCCAATGAGAATACAAAGGAGGGGCCAAAAAGACAGCTCATTGGGTAAAGGTGTCTGCTGCTGCGCGCGCGCGCGCGCACGCACACACACACACACACACACACACACACACACACACACACACGAAATAAATGTAATAATTATTTTTGTTTTGAGACACTCTGTAGGTCTGGTTGGCCTAGACCTGGCTGGCCTCCTCCTGACTTGGGATTAAAGGTGCGCGCCACCACACCAGCTTTATGAAAAACACTCACATATAACACAAGGGGGAGGCAGAGGAAGAGGAGGATCTCTTTCTCCTTTCCCTCTCCAAGGTTGTTTTGAGCTAATTTCTAAATTGATAACTAAATGAAGACTATGAGTGTAATTCATTCACAGAGCTCTTGCTTAGCATGTGCAAGCTGAGTTCAGTATGCGAACACACACACACACTCTATAAAGTTTTTAGTTTTACTAGTGGCACAATTTACATGCAAAAACAATACACTAACCATTGTGTTCCCTCTGAAGTGACCTTTACTAGGAAGCTGGGGGGGACCAGTGGTCGTCTCATGATGCTGGGATAAGAACTCTCTCCTCTTAGCCAGCTGTGGTGCACACCTTTAATCCCAGTACTATGGAGGCAGAGGCAGGTGGACCTCTGAGAACTTGAGGCCAGCCTGGTCTACACTGTGAGTTCCAGGACAGCCAGGCAAGGTCTAAAACTGCCCTCCAAAACACACTCACACACATACAAAACACTGGTCCCGAGAATTCCCTTCTCTTGTCCCCACAGTCTTCAAAGGAGAGTTGCTAGCAACTCACCAAGGCCCTTCCAGCCAGGCAGCAAAGACACTTCCTTACTCTCTTCATCAAGGCCATACTCACCTGGGCCCTATACAGGGCCCCACATGACCAAGGTCCTGGTGACATGCTCTTGATGGCTAGCATATGGCCAAGCTGCAGAAACACAAGGTTTACACCTGCAGTGGATCGGGAGGGACACCTGTCCCTGGTCTCCATGAATGCAGGTCGGCAGGGGGCTTTGGAGTCCAGCTCCAGCTCAATTATCCACTGCCTGCCCTAAGCTTCCAATGTCCCTCCCTCCTCTCCAAGCCCATTTCCTCACTGGACTTCAAGCAAAAGCTACTTTGCAAAATGGAAATGAACCATAAAAAAGGCAACCTCCAGGAGGGTTGTGGAACTGTCTTTATTCCAGCCATCGTTATCCTAGAAGTCAGCCAGGATGGACACTCAGGACAACTTCCTGACTGCCTCACTCTACCTGCTCCTAATGGCACAACCTCCAAACAACGGCCAGGTGAGGCTGAAGTTACAGGGGATGCTCCAAAGGACCGCTTCAGCATGCAGCCTCTCTCAGCAGAAGCCACGTGCACATCCTCACTGTGTTTCCTGAGCAAAGCCTGGGGAGCAGAGGCGTTCACATCCTCACAGCGCCATCCCAGCCTCCCTGGTCACAGCAGAGCTGCAGTCCAGCCTGAAGAGTGTGCCAGAGGTCCAAAGGCCCATTCCTGCCCAGGTGATTTATCTTCCACATTCAAAACCATCCCAAGTCACTTTAGTTGTCCCCAAATCAGGTCACAGAACAGCAGGAGACATTCCTTTGGCAAAAAAAGACACATTCTTATCCTGTATCTTGTACTGGTAGGTGAGACTTCGATCCCGCTGGGCCGTGGTCTGTGACAGCTTCCTCCAGAGGATGCTCAGCTGCAGAAGGAGAGAAGGATGAGGCAAGGAGCACCACCAAGGACCTGCTCCACTGTGAATCCCACTGGGCCTCCTGGTCACCTTCCATTGAGGCTTCTATGACAGCTCAGGTAAACATACCATATGCTAATGGGACCAACTTCTACAATAAACATTACCAGAAGCAAACATTCTCAAGGTTTGCCTCTCTATTACAGCAGCTCAATTGCTTCTCATAGGAAAGTAAAGGATGAAAAGGTCCTCGAGAGGGGCTGGAGAGATGGCTCAGAGGTTAAGAACACTGTCTGCTCTTCCTCAAAGTGCTGAGTTCAATTCCCAGCAACCACATGGTGGCTCACAACCATCTTGGTGAGATATGGCCTGCAGGTGTACATGCAGATAAAGTACTCATATATGTAAATAAATAAATAAATCTTAAAGGAAAGAAAGAAAGAAAGAAAGAAAGAAAGAAAGAAAGAAAGAAAGAA